TTTTTTTTTATTGTTTCTAGATGAGTATATTTGCCACTAGCTGTCTACAAAGCTTCCAGATTAAATTTCAGCTCTCTAATATTTACTTGAAGCATAATAAACTTTTTGCTGCTAGTTCAGAAATCAGGCAGTACATATCCGATGTAGCTGCATGTTCTTAGTCTCTCCCTTTCCCTCTGATCGGTGAAGACTCTGCTAAATGTTCAAATGCTAGATCTTGTGCTCCGAAATCAGGAATCCATATTTACATCAGAACTTGGTTTGTCTATTACTGAATATGCCTTGAGAAGCATTCTGTTCTATCCAATCTCAATAGGCAAGATGATGTTTCAATTATGTTATAATCTTTGTATGGGATGCATTTGTTTAAAAAGTTTTAGTAGTTGTTTTAACATGTTTTTATGTTATAAAACAATTTAGATGGTCCTCTAATAGATTTAACTACAAGCAAACTCAAACATTTTTTTTTTTTGTTTTATCTATCCTTTCGTTTGTGTTCTTTCTATGCAGTATGGTAGCTTTATTTGCATTTTTACATCTAAGTAACGAGTTCTCTTTGTCAATAGTGTTCCAATATCACATCATTGATTGGTTTCATCAAGTGAACATATTAGACTCATTTTCTTCCATAGTCATGATGCTAATATCAGCTCACATTACTGATAAATGTATCTTATACAGGGTTGACCCTCAACAGTCCTGGGGATCTAGCCATCAGTCTTGGTACTAGTGACACTGTAAGTTGGCTTTCTACGTCTGCCTTAAGATCGTCTTATTTAGTATACATTATTATTCATAATATTCTAAAAAATGTTAGAAAAAATAATTATACGTGTTTATCAAACTGTAATGCATAACCTACATTTTTTTTCCTGATGCCTGTTTCAAGTTTTAACATAAAGGATATTTCCCAAGCAAAATGACGGTGTTTTAGACGGCTTATTTGACCTTCAGGCAAGACCAAACTGAGGAAGTTGAGAAATTGCTATGCTGCATCAGCATTACTTTGCCCATTTGACTTGCTCCTATTCCCTCCTATAATTGCAGTCTATATCTGAACTGTATTTCAAAAGTCATAACTTCATGCCAGCATCAGTCATTTAACCTCTTCTTGGGGAATGGGAATTTCAACGGGTGAGTATTTGAAGTCTTGTGGTTGGGAAATGATATATTTTCTCCAAGAGAGAACAATGATAAAATGCTGAAGTTTAACTACTAACTATACCATTTTGGTTCTCTGCAAGTTTTGCTATTTATCTTTCCTATATTGAATTCTAATGCAATTATGTAATTGTTTGAATTCTGAGAATATATTCCTGTTGAACCTACTAAATGCTATACTTTCTGTTAGGTATTTGGGATCACAACTGAACATAAACCATCGTTAGAAGGGCATGTCTTTCCTAATCCAGTGGATACAAACAGCTACATGGTTATGCTGTGCTATAAGAATGGCTCTCTGGCACGTGAAGGTACACCACGAATTTCTCTACAGAATAACTGCATGGATCCTGTACAGTAATCTGAAATCCACTTTATGAATTCTGCGACCATGACCTTGACAGATATAAGGAACCAGTGTGCGGATAAATCTTGGGAGGTTTTCAATAAATTTTTGCAGCAAACCCAACCTCTAAATGGTTAGTTGAGAAGTTATTTATATTATTTCTGATTTTTTTTCTTTAGCCTTTTCTAAAACTTTCTCCGTTATCAGGTGGAAAATTAGGCTTTTATTACAAGGACCATGAAATTCTTCCTCCCCTCCCAGGTGAAGCATACTTCCACATTATGTTACTAAATTTTCAGCAAGTATAATGCTCTCAATCAGGATTGCTGATTTCTCATGTTTAATATCTTTCCGCCAGTTTCCCGCATAATAATGCATAGCTTTCTTTCTGTTCTATGTCACCTTGTTATAAAACTTGCAATAAATGAATAATGGACTCAAATCTCTATTATTTTTGGTGTATACGAAGGGAATAGAAAATACAGAGTATAAAATTTACGGGTTATTATAAATAATTGCAAGTGGTTGACGCGTGAATCTTGCAGTCGGGTTCCATCGTTATGTTCTTGAGAATTTCAATGAAGAGTCTTTGGATGAAGGAAGAGAATGCGAAGTTAAGGAATTTGACCCTCCATCTGAGGTATTTTAAACAGATCATTTAGAGATGTCAAAAGAAGTCAACAAAAATTTATGTGCTTACTTGCATCCATGCATTAAATAATTGGTTGTAGGTTCGGGCATTAGTTGAAGGACAGCTACTTTCTATGCGAGCTCATTCCGAAAGATTTGGCATGCCTTCACCTCCAAAGCGGATCATTGCTACTGGTGGAGCATCAGCAAACGACTGCATTCTGAGCTCCATAGCTTCAATTTTCGGGTGCAATGTTTATACAGTCCAAAGGCCAGGCAAGTAATAGTGTTTCTTTTTGTTTATCGCCACTTTTAAATAGTCATCGCATAAGACCTTTTCTCTTCATGTTTGGCCGAGGTTAAAAAATGAAAAAGTTACTAACTTCTGTCTCCAAACATATTTGGATAACTTACTTTCTTACTTTTAAGTGAAAAACAACAGTTTCTTATAAAAGCAATTCTTACTTTGCTTGTCAAAATAACTTCTAACTTTCCCCGATAAAAAGTTTATTTATGAAAGAAATTTAACTTACAGCACTGGATCAAAAAGCAATGGAGACCAGACAAACACCCATATGATCCAGTTGACTTCTTTTGCCTCTGCCATTTCATGAGTCTCTTCCTTTTCGTTCCAATTTATTGATTGGCATTAACCCTAGATCCTTTCCCCCGAGAAATGTCCAAATGGTACTTTGAACTTGGAATGAGCACGGTGGAACTTGTAAATAGGTGTACCTCTAAATTTATGCCTAGTAAATGAACTTTTCACACTAACTCTTCCCTCCAATTCTGTAACGAAGATTATACTTTTTGTAACAAACAAATTGTCTTGTTGCTTTTTCAGACTCGGCTTCAATGGGAGCTGCATTAAGGGCAGCTCATGGTTGGTTATGCAACAAGAAGGGTAATTTTGTACCGATATCGTGCATGTACATGGACAAAATGGAAACGACATCTCTCAAATGCAAACTTGCTGCAACTGCTGGAGACCAAGAACTTGTGTCCAAGTATGCTTTATTGATGAAGAAAAGAGTGGAAATTGAGAACCGCCTCGTCCAAAAACTTGGACGCTTGTGAGATTGAAATAGGGGTTGAAACAGTTCTCATTCATAATATGGATAAATAATTGCTTATACTGCATTTAGGTTAATGGGGGGAGTCTAC